AGGAGGCTCTGTCTTACCTGCTGGGCTTCCAGTGCTGGTGGCCCCAGTGCCTGAAGTTGCAGGTGTACTTCCACTGCCTGCTCCTGAGGTTGATCTCAAGGACTCTCCTGTTGTACCTGATAAATACAGTAGCAGTGCTTGTAACATATGCTAGTTCCTCGGAAGCAGGAGATTGGGAGATTAAGACAAATTTCAATCTTCTTATACATTTTCATGCCTAGATGCTTCCATATTTCTACTCAATAATATTCACTGAGTGCACATCCTAACTTACCCGAGTTCCCTGGGCTAGTAGCTCCAGTGCTGGGTTCCCTGGGTGTACTGCCCTCCTTCCCACTGGGTGTGGTTGTACTTGGGCCGCCTGTTCCTACTGGGGAGAATCAGCATTTCAAATTGCCTTATGCATCAATCCAATCTTTTAATTTCATAAACTTACTTACACTCTAACTGATGCAAGAAAAGTCCAATGTCTTATTTGGCAAATCAACTATTTGTACGGTTTCCCATCTATGGTAAAGGCTTTCTTTTACAATTACCCAATATTAATTATAAAACAATGCAGTCATAAAAAAGAAACATGAAATAACCCAGAGGAAAAATTTAAATAGTGAAGATAATATAATCTGTGCATCTTTAGTCATTAAAAGATGATAGTATTAAAGTGATATATTTACAAATGTTTGTTTTGTTTCATTCAGTCTGGGAACACATACGTGAGCACCAAACTTTCAGTAACCTATTCCAAATCTATGGGACTTACTGTCTGATAAAAACAAGAGATCACCTATTGAAATATCACTGTTAGCATGTAATTCTGAATCTGATTTTTGTGAATATAAACTAAATGCTCACTCTAAAATTTTAATAAGTTTACTGATCCAATGAGAATTACCCAGTTAATTTTCCTGCTATATAAAAATGACATCATTGAACTCTGTAGATTTAATGTTAAATAAAATTCATTCAAATTGCTCATTGTCATAAATTACAAACCAAAGGTTCACCTAATAAAAAAAAAAACCTGTAGAATAAAACCAAAATAGGCCCAAGTATTTATTAATAAAAATATGGAAAGACACCTGTCTGTATATGATAAAAACCTCTTACTAGCAAAAATGTGTGAATTATTTAAAAAACAATCACAAATATTTAAGTATTATAAATACTGCACAACTGTCTTAAAAGTGATCTATGAGAAAGTCATTCAAATATGACATTGATGGAGTGCAACCTGGGAGGGAAGTTGGGAAAAAGTGTGAATTGTAAAAAGGTACTTCTCCAATTGGATCACTGATTCCCTAAAAACCTAGTTAAGAAGTCTACTGGGCTCCATTCCAACACTTTTGATACTAGGCTGCTGAACCCAGAAACGTGGCCATCTAACAGGACCCCACAGGATTCCAGTACATTACATGCCACTTATGCACCCATCAGATCCAAAAACCCTACTTCAAGCAGAGCACCATGGTGTTATAGGAAGGAGGTGATCTAGGCAGAGGACTGCAGGGACAGGGGCAAAGGGTATAACACCTGAGTAAAACACAGGCTAAGGGAATGCAAAGAGAAGACATTTCAGAGGTCCCTGACATGAGGACCATTTGAAATTTAGTCTTGCTCGTTTTTAATCAAAATTATCTATGTTTCATATTGTCAAAAACATTTCATTCCTGTATCTAACTGTGATGATATTGAGCAAAAAATGAACAAACACAGGCATGTTCTCCTTGGCTATTGTGGAATCGGAGCTCCCAATGCAGGTCCCAGAACTGGGGACAGCTAGTGCCCATGAGACTCAGTAGTCTGTACTCTACCCCCTGCCTTGCCAGCTTGAGTCCATTCATTTTTTCTCATCTGATAGAAATAATGATATGTAACTTCAAGGGGTTTAAGTGTGACTTAATCACAAACAATATATTAAAAATATAATATGCCATAAAAATACATCATTTTTAAAAATAACTATTTATTTATTTATTTATATGTGGTGCAGAGGATCGAACCCAGGGCCTTGCACATGCGAGGCGAGCGCTCTACTGCTGAGCCATAAGCTAGCCCCAATTAACTTTTTACTTAACTACAAATATTAAATACTAAATATTTCCCAAAGTTATCCCACTGGACTGTGTTACTCCTAGACTTGGCCCCTGTAGCTAAGGCTCTACTCAGAGTGGAGGTATTGTGGAGGGGAACCCAGGACTGTCTGTGTACAGTATAGGATGTGCCTCATATCTTTGATCCACCTGTTTAAAAATTGTGTCTCTTGTAATTCCATTGTTGGTTCCAGCTGTTGTATCTGCTGACTTTCTAGTTTTCAGTGATGAAGGATAAAAAAAATATTTTAAAACCTGGCTAGAAATAACTTCTTTGGAGCTACAAACTACCAGGTATTGGGGACATAGAGTTATAACATAGTATGTTTTACAAAAGTAACTTCATAAAGTCTATTACATTTTAATTATGTAAGTTTGATTTGGAAAAATATTGTGGTGAGCAGCACTGCTTGAAATCAGATCCTTGTTTGTAGCCAGTACAATTGCTCTGAACTGTATACCAAATGTGTCCCCAAAACTGGTCAAGCTGGAATATCCAACAGGTTTGTCTCAATATATCCAAAAATCAATCATAATACCATGTAAGACTTAGAATCCTTTCGTGAAGTACATTCATTGTGCTTGCAAATAAGACTGCTATTACCAACCTCTACCTTGCTGACATATTTGAACCTAGTGTATCTGACCCAGGCTACCTATTGCAATCAACTGAGGCATGAAAATACTTGCACACATTCAATGATTCTCTCAAGAAACAATCTAAAATTTTGGATAGTTGGTTAAACTTTATAGCCAGCTTAGCAAACCATGGGCCCATTCCAGACTCACTGCTTCAGAAGTTCCAGGAAAAGAGTTCTGACACTATTGTGGCTCACAGAAAATATGACAACTTCATAAGAGTATACAAAGAACATCTACTTCAGTCAGCACACTCCTTTTGCTAAACTGTTGGCCGAAAGTTGGGCTCACACTCTCAAGTCTCTGAGTAGTGCTTTCTGTTCTTCACCACATTCTACAGTATAGAAATTGACACATGCACTCACTTACCATTTTATACCTGTAAACTCAGAAAATTCTCCGTATACGTACCTGATTTACTGCTAGCAGAGGTGGAGGAAGGTCTAGTAGAGTCTCCAGAGCTGGCAGTGGTGGAGCCTGAAGACACTCCTGTGGTCCCTGGAAACAAGACCCAGTGCCTCAATGGGGGGTGCGTGTGATTCCTGCTCTCCATATGAATATTTGGGTGTTTCCCAAAAAATGACACATGTGATCCCTTCATCTTTCCTTAGTCCCGTTATATAATCACAGTCAGTGCCCAATATTGTAGACCTGCATCTGCTACAGGAGAACACAGATGGGGAGGTCCTGATGCATCACTTCCAACCTGGTAAACCTCACCTAAAGCACTGGTTCCAGTGGCTGTTTCTCCAGGGGTGCTGCCATTTTTAGCTTCAGGGGTAGCTTCTGATGATGCCGCAAATGTGCCTGATTATTTATTGGGGGAAAATATCAGCTTAGGAAAATCAAAAAAAGTGTCCTTCTTATTATGAACTGGAATGGATGTATCTATATTGTGAATTTCATAGACATCTTAATTTCTCTAAATGAGATAACATAGGAACTTTATTAAAATATTCATTATGAATAATATGTAACAATCACATAGACCATTTATGATTTACCATCTAAGTCCTTATCTCTTGTTATTA